TGTGTGTGTGTGTGTGTGTGCATCCCAATTCTCATGTTGGCTGTATATCCTTGTTTTGTGTTTCGGTTTTACATCTAATGTTTTGCCCCATGCCTTTGTTTCTTGCTGTTTTATGAGAGAGTGTTGTGCTTCATAGCTCACACCTCTAGAGTCTTTCTGTTTGTCGTTTTTTTTTTTTTAGGGGGGAGTGGATTGTCCGCGAGGAGCTGTGACTCCTTATTACTCCCGTTTTTGGCACGCGAATCCATGTGATGTTGGAGTTGAGGCGGCACTGTGGCGTTCTTGTTGGATGCAAATGCTAATTAAAAGTTTGTTTGCTCTTTGGTTTGGCCGTCACATTTTTTTCTTTCGTGTTTTCTCTTTGGTGTCACTGTGTGTGTTTTTTTTTCCCGCCTTTTCCCTTTGGTGTGGCTACTCGCCTTGGTGGTACGGGTCATTTTTCTGCCATGCAGGCATCTGAGTTGAGGTTGTCGCATGGCATCCTTGTGTTCTACCAATTTTCTCGGCTTGGGCGTGTTGAGAGGATGAGGGTGTGAGATCTGTCGTGTTTTGTGTGCGGGTATGCCTGGTGGTTGAGGTGAGGTGTTGTGGTCGCCGGTGGCACTACGAAGCCGTGCCTTCTCTGCCCGTGCTATATCATCTATAACCGTGGAAGAGAATGTGGTGAGGAATGTTGCTGCCATGTTTGTGATTTCTCTGTTGGCCAGACGATCCACCCACGGACTGAAGGTCGTTTCACGTATATATTCTTATTGTGTGGGATGTTGTTATTCTCTTTTTTATTTCTGTTTTTNGAGAATGTGGTGAGGAATGTTGCTGCCATGTTTGTGATTTCTCTGTTGGCCAGACGATCCACCCACGGACTGAAGATCGTTTCACGTATATATTCTTATTGTGTGGGATGTTGTTATTCTCTTTTTTATTTCTGTTTTTTGTTTTCTCGTGTTTTTTGAGGGGCTTTTTGTTGTTGTTGTTGTTGTTGTGCTCGCTACACGGGAGGAATAGTATGGCAGAGCAGCAGGAAGGTAAAATATATGCCCGTGCAGCGATTCTGCAGTGGGCGGCGGGCATCCTCCAGAGTGAGTACAGCTCCTTCAGCGATATCGCCGCGAAGGATGTCGCGGTGTTGCTTCACGCCATATTTAACAAGCCGGACGTGGACGGTGAAGGTGCAGTCGTCTCGCTGCATGACATCCAATTCTGCGAGAACCCTACCTCAACGACACGTTTCCTGAATGCAAAACGCGTACTCTCACTTCTGCAGACGCTTAGCTCCTCTACCAGTGATGCCAACTGCGAGGGCAGTGCAAGCGGTGGTCGTCTCGCACCGTCTGTCGTCGGAAACATGACGGCCTCTGCGTGGTTGGAAGGTAAGGCGTTTGTAGAGGAGCTGAAGATGTGGCGGTGGATCCGCGCTGAAGCGTTTAAACGTGGACTTGGGAAGGACGAGTTGGGGTCTAGAGCGCAGGCGTTCCTCAAAGGTGCCGTTCATAGCGGCAGCATACTGTCAGCAGGTGGACGAGGGCTAGAGATCGATAACAATCCGCCCGAGGTCTTAAAGAGCGTTGTGGCCAAGGAGAATACTGCTTCATCACGAAAGCATCCCCGAGAGGAGGAGGAGGAGAAGGAGGAGGAGGCTCTGGCAAATGCAACTCCTGGTGTTGCTGCTGCTGCTATGAAAAAAAAAACTACGGCGGACGACAAACCGAGGCGGGTGGTCGAAAGCAACCCAGCGATCCCTACACATTCTGATAGCAACGTTCATACAAGTAGAGTCGTTGAGGCGGCCGTCACACAGATTCCCAGTGATGTGTCGCGGGAAGAGGAATGGTCGGCGACACCGCTGCCTGAGGTAACGTGTGACGGGGTTGCCGCTGCACCGCAGTTGCTGGGTGTGCTCGAGAAGGTGAAGAAGGAGCTGGAAGAGCAGCGAACTGCAGCAAGGGATGTTGCGACGGCACCGTGCGGGAATGAGTCGCATGTGCCGGAAGAGGCGCGCAGTGACGGGCGTCCGCCCACCGGCTGCGCGTCGTGCCCCGCGGTCTTCGCCGTGGCTGTTCAGCAGAACTACGACGCCATTGAACGGCTGGAGGCGGTGCGGCGCCTGGCCGTTGCCGCGTGCCTCAAGAGGGATGCGACGGCGGTACTGGGGGCCCTGGCGCTGGTGTGACGTGGGCGCGTGGCCCCGGTCCCCGCAGCTCTCAGGGTGCGTAGAAGCCGGGAATGGGGGGACGCATACCCGGAGGGAGCTTCTCTCCTCTGACAGAAAAAAAATCGCGAAGTCGGATCGCTGCCTACAGATGCACACACACACACACACACACACACACACACACACACACATAAACATTATTTATGTGGCCCTAGAGTTATGTGTCTGTGTGCACGCTACGTCTGCACGAGCGTAGTTCTTTATACTAAACGTTCTAAGCGTGGTAGACGCACAATTTCCTGGTGCAGAAGAAACAAGCGTTTCTTTTCACGGCATCCCTACTTCTAGGCTCGCTTTTTTTTTTCCGGGCATTGGCAAGCGGCACGTGACAGAGCCATGAACTGTAGTGTTTCCTCTGCCTCCCCCGCCCCTCTTTCCTTTCTCTCCCTGATGTTTCTTTTTTTTTTTGTGTGTGTGTGTTTTCTTTTTTGTTTTTGTGGTGAAGAGGTCTTTCATGGGTACTCTTGCACGGGCACCGCCCACTGACAGTGTCTCGTTGACTTCACGAAGTGGATTCTCAGCAGTCCCCTGCACGCGTGCCCCGTCCACACCGTTTCAGTGATGGACGCATCGCCTGGCATGCTAGCCACCATACCTCGTGGCTTGGAGTCGCCATCACTGGAGCCACGCGGAGCGGTGAGCTCCATTGAGAAGCCGCTCCGATGCTCCATCCCCTCCGCTGCCGCTGCGGCCGCGAACAGCAGCAGCAGCAAGACGCGTCGGCAGCGCAGTGTCGTGGCGGAGGCGAAAACAGACGTCAACGTCCCCCGGTTCAAGTTGTTAGTTCTCGGTGATTACGCAGTGGGAAAGACCTCGCTCATTCGGCAGCTGACGCAGCGGTGTTTCTCGCATGTGACGAGCACCACCATTGGGGTGGAGTTCCAAGAGTACACCGTGCGAGAGGAGGGGCGCGGCAGCAGTGGCAGAAGCAAGGCGATGTTGCAGCTCTGGGATGTCGCTGGCCAGCAGTACTCCAGCAGCATGACGCGGCAGTACTATCGTTGGGCCGCGGGGGCTGTGGTCTGCGCAGATGTCACGCGCCGCAGCACGCTCGATGCGGCGGTGGAGTGGCGGCACGATGTGCGGGAGAAGATGGGAGTACCGGTGGCGCCGCGGTCCTGCGCCACAGCCACCTCCGTCTCATCATCTCCAACCTCATTCATCACTCCATCATCATCATCATCACCATCCCCGCAGCAACAACAACACCAGCAACGTGCTGCATTGGCAACCATCGAGGAAAGGAATTGCAGCGTCACGGAGGATGCAGGAGGCGAAAACGCTGGCGACACATCACCACCACCACGTCAGCCGCCGCCCTCATTGGTACCTGCAACAGCAACGGTAACAACAACAGCATCCGGAGCATCCCCGCCATCACCGGCCGAAAAAGTGACCCTACACCACGCCGGAGAGGAGCCAGGCATCCCCATCTTCCTTGTCGCCACCAAAGCAGATTTGCTCCCGCAAGCAGAAACGACGGTGCAGGAAATCTATGACTTTGCGCGCGACCACGGCTTTGAAGACGTTCTCATCACCTCCGCAACAGACTATAACTCTGTACGGGATACCTTTGAGCACGTCACGGATGTCGTGCTGGAGCACCACAAGCGGCTCTGTGAGGTGCCCTGTGGTTTGTGCAACGGGAGCCACGTTGGGGAGCGGCAGGGGGCGCCGGTCAGCTTGGCGCGTCGGCGCATGCACACATTGGGGTCGGCAGCAGGAGGAGGTGGTGGAGCAGCAATGCGGCGGTCTGCATCGCTCAGCGGCTGCTGTTCGGGATAGATGCTGGTAACATCAGTTGAGTGGGCCCCAAGGCGTTACCACCCCATCAGTTTTGAGGCCACGTTTTGGGTAACTTCCGCGAAAGCGCATAACTTATTCTCTAAGGCATTGCTGTCTGTGTGTATGCGTGTTTGCTTTTAGTCTTTGTGTGTCTTTCTTTCTCTCGCTCTGAAGCATGCGGTGGTGGGTTTTGCACTGCCTGGGTGTAGCTTGTTTGTTTGCTTTTGTATCAGCCGCTGTTGTATTGGCGATGCATCTCATGTCAAGCTATACAGCCGGAAGGAATGACACGAAAACAAATTTATGCGCAGTGACCCCTTCGCATCATACTCGTGGGGTAAATATCCCTTTTTCTTTATTTGACTGTTTGTGTTCTTTTTGTTTTCATCGATTTCACTTCTTTTTTGGTGCTGCTTTGGCCGTCGCCCCCCCCCCCCCTATAAGCAAGTAGCAGAGGTAGGAGTGGCGCTTGGGGCACGCGTGCATAAGTAAAGATGTTGCGAAGGGCTGTTGCTGTTGGTTCTCCATTAGCTGCAGTGGCGCCAGCGCTGTGTCGCTGCATCTCAACGGAGCACAAGGACCTTGCAGGACCAAGTCAGCAGGAGCCGCAGCCGCCCGCTGTTCCACACAACGAGCCGGTCCTCCCTATAGACTTCAACCCGCACATTGAGTGGTTTGAGTACCCGAAGGAGATATTTGACCCGAAGTACCCGTACACGCGTGAGGAAAGTATTCGCATGACAGAAGAGTCCTGGGAGAGTACGATGGATGAAATGGCAAGCCGCTACGGCATGCGCCTCAATATGTCAACGAAGCCAACATTCTGGCTTGCGTGGAGCATCATGTTCTTTTACTCCTGGTATACGCTGTGGGGTTGCTACCGCGCCATGGGAACCGAGCCAGGATGGACACACTTCCGCAACATTGTGCTAAACCAGCCGAATGTCCCGACGCTGGAGGACGATGACATTTACTTGGACCAGTGGATACGCCCAGAAATACGCGAGAAGCACGCAAAGTACGAGCGTTTCTGGAACTGGAAGCCGCTGGTGAACCGCGACGGGGCCAAGACAAGCTGGCAGATACCGATGCAGTACCAGGACGAGTCGGAATGGAGGCACATGACGAGCAAGTACTGAAGGGACTATCTCTCATTATATATTTCTTTTGTGTATCTTTCTCTCTTCCCATGCGTGGGTAATGGGCTTGCGTCTACAGAAAGATGGAGAGAAGGAAGGAGAGTGGGATGTGTTCCTTTGTGATGTGTGCATTTGTTTTGCGCCGTTTTATTTGTGAAATTGTCATGTGGTGTGCAAATGTACATCGTGAGGGACCTCGTCATTGCCTCTGAGTATGGTTGTTGAAGCGATGGACGACGGCGGCGAAGCGGGGGGGAAGGCGCCAGGCATGGCCGTGCAGTGCTGGAGTAGTGTAGTACATGAAAGCAACTACGTGGCGGAGGGAAACAAGTACAACGGATTTTAGTGGAGGGTGTTTTGGGGGGGGNAAAAAAAAAAAAAAGAAAGGTACTGGTAGGAAAGTGGGACGGCATCAGGGAGGAGAGGGCGTACAATGATAGATTGGTGGATAGCTGAGGTGCAACATAGCCATCATGTGCCCAAGTGGCGCTTAGCGAGGAAAAGAGGAGAAATACGGGAGGGTGAATGGGGAAGGAGTTCCCGTTGCACGCATACGGAGCGTGCGGTAGTGGCGAAGTGTTTTGTGAGAATGCGTGATGGGTCCATTATGTGCTCCCATTACTGTGAGTGTGAATGATTGTATGCTTGAATGTGTAAGGCGTGGGCGGGATGGAGCAGCCAACCTCTCTCTCTCTCTCACACACACACCCTGCGGCAAATCCTTTCTTTTCGCCCCTCCTCTCTCTCTCTCTCTCTGCACGTTGTATTGGGAAAGCATAGATACATCACGTAGGGACGATTAGGCCCAACGGAACATCTGGGCAAGATAAAAGGCGAAGATTTAGTGACTGTTTCTCTTGTTGGCCGCGACGGCACCCGGGAATACACAAAGCGCATAGCTCTGTGAAGGGTAGAGAGCCACACCAGCAGCACGGACAGCCACTCGCGTGTATAGTGCTCTGTGGTCTTGGATCCTTCCCCTTCTTTCCTTCGTATTTCAGTTTCTCTGTGTGCACGAGTGAGCGTGTCACAGGGGGGGCCACAGCAACAGTAGCAGCAACAAAATGGAGAGGCGTGTCGTTGCGTCACAACTCCCACCGCTGACGCGCGGCGCCACAGCCTCACCGCCACTCCCCCAGACAAGGCGCAGGTCTGTAGTCCTGCTGCAGGAGCCACCGCCTTTGTCGTTAACGACAACCGCAGGAACAGCTGGCATTGTAGTGGATAGAAAACGACAACAGCAGCGGGCCCCAACACTGATGGTGCGTGGGAGCAGCGCCTTGCGGGAGCGAACACAGGTGCGTGAAACCTCGACGCGGTGTGCCAGTCCAAGGCCGGCGGAGCATCCTTCACCACCGCCGGTGCCTCGTCACCACACGCTTCCTCCGGTTCTTCGATCCCTGTTTGCATCGAATGTAGAGTGCGTAGGTGGTGCAACGAATGACTCTGTAGGGCCTTCGCGGGATTCAATATGTTTGGCGCAATCGGGGAGCACCGTTCCCACTCCGGAAATAGCGCCCAACACGGAAGACAAACTGCCGCATCACAAGCCGCAGAAAAGACAACAACAGCATCAGGACCTGGTGAAGGAGCAGCAGGATGCTGTAAGCAGCGATCCATTTGTCTTGGATGCGACTGCGCCGAAGCCGATTTTTAAGACGATGAAGAACCTCTACGAACGCGATGTCAGTGTGGCCTCAAGTGCCACCCACGATGAAGGCAGTGTCTTTTGCGGAAGTCTCACTCAGCACGGGGCGAACATGATGGCCACGTCTGTGTCTAGTGCAAACACATCGGCAGAACTCTATTCGCAGACGCAGCCTGATAACCAGCCGTCCAATGACCCTCTGGATTGTCATTGGGAGCTGTCATGGATCAACAACAGCAGAAGCACTTCACCCACTCCGGCGAAGGGGACCACGCTGGAAAAGCTGCGCATGAACAAGCGGCAATCTATTGTTGCGCTAAATGAGCGGAAAAGCCAGGCATCAAAACTTGGGCTGAGTGACGACGCGCAGGAAGACGACCCAATGGTTCAGCGCATGATTACCCGTGAGACCCAGAAGCGGCGTGTCAAGAGGGACGCCCCGTCCCTGTACTCAGTGGAGCTACCCACCTTCAATGATGAGACAGGGGAACTCGGCGACGAGAGCCTCTTTCCACGATCACTCACGGTGGCTGACGCTATTCAGCGCGTGTTGCAACAGGAGCGTGGAGAGGTGCGGACAAAAACAAGCGGCGTCGGCATCACACACTTCCTCGCAAACTACCCGGAGAGTCGCAAGATCATTTACCTCTACTTTTGGTACATCGTCGTCCACATACGCCGCGTTGGGGCGGAGCGAATGTTGATTGGTCGCCACACAAACCTTGAGCGCGTCTTTCGCGGCATGTTTCCCCGCTACAAGGCGGGGCTTCCGCCGATTGTGCAGCTCGAGCAGGCAATGGCGAGGGCAGTCCGTGCTGTGACTAATGGCACCAAACCAACGCCGATGCGCGACATTGACGACATTGGCGCTGAGTCCGTCACGCCTTTTATGGGCGACTGCTTCAACGGCAGTGGCCTCACCTTCGGTCAGAGCAGTTCTGAAAACTTCTCACAGCGCGGCGTTAGTTGCCGACTCGGGAGTTTCCGCCGTGGCCAGAGTTTCAGACGCGATGGAGGTGGTCGGAAGTCGGAGATGGGCGCCGACAACTTGCTGGCTCGTGACCCGAAGGCAGTGATGCGTTGCGCTGATGCGGTTGACGTCTTTACAGTGGTGTTGGTGGAGGTGTATGAGCTCGCTGAGTTTGGACAGCGCTGCTTCCAGCGTCTTGCGATGCTCTTTGGTCGCGCCTTTGAGCGCCTGGCGGAGGAAAAGGACGAGGTGATCAACGCCTTTATGTATGTGGTGCCGCATGTGGCATACTATGTGCTGGTTCACAGCTTCCCTAATGACGTTGTGGCTGGGCTGTTCAACTCGCCGCTGCGTTTGAACATTTACCGCATCTTTTACTACTGGTGCAGTGGTCTGGTGGCCACCTATGTGCGTCTAACAGGTTGGCCAGTGCCGGCGCTTTTCTCAGAGCTAGGCAGCTTTCCTTCGAAAAAGAGTAACGAAGCAACAGCGACGACACGGTCACAGGGGGTTGTGAATGACGCATTACAGCCCACCACATCGGAGGAGGTCGCGAGCGAGAGCACGAGCAGGCTGATCAGCAGTTCGCTACTGCCGCTATCGCTCTCTGCGCTGCACGAGAGCCTGCGCCCCCTTGACGACAACACATTCGAGGATGTGGATGTGGAGGTGGTGAATGGTCATCATCGCCTCATACTCGAATTTAAGAAGTACGCGAGGCATGTGAATTACCTTGTGCAGGAGCTGGAACAACGCACAGTAAGCATGCATCAGCTCCCCCCGATAGAGCGGCCGACGCAGTCGCAAAAGGCACCGCAACAGACACAGTCACCAACGACACAGGCAGAGAGGAAGCCAGAGAAGTCTGTAGCCTTCCTGGATGATGCCGCCAAAATGCCTTTGTCATTGAGAAAGCGCAAAGCTAACTGCAGAGGCAGCAGCAATAGCAATAGTCGTAATGTGCAGGCTCTATCTGGCTCTCCAAACGAGCAGGTGCCGCAGTCGCCGAGGAGTAATGCACTGTTTCCACAAATTTCGCGGAAAAGTGGGAGCAACAACAACAACAATATTAACAACTCCCCAGCAAAAGTAACCAAATCATCAATCATCAGCACTAATACCGCCAAAAAAATTGATGGTTGTGTTCTCTCTGACTTCCCACTAGGGCAAGCTGCCGTCAGCGTTCGGCAATATATTGCTCAGCAGACGGACGCACGACTGGTGCAAGTGCCACTCCCGCCGCTGGACGAAGAGATGACGCCGCGCCGCCAAGCCGGCATGGACGCGTTACTGCCGTCTGTGATGCAAAATGGTCCCATTGCATGTCGCTCACGAACAGTTAAGATGCCGCTACCGTTAGCTTCACCACTGTTCCTCAACTACACGAGCAAGCGTGGAAATCTTGGTCCTATTGGAGACGTAGAATTTGATACCGGCACTTTGGTGTCGAGCGGTGTGACTCCACTGTCGTTTCCTTCGCATTCGAGTATGAGCCGTTACGATGGTATTTCTCCCAGCCACAATGCCGCGCGTGCAATACCACCGCCGCATGAGCCGAGCACAAGTAACAAGAATAAGATCCTCGTACTGCCGCGCAATACACAAAAGACGATAAACGTCATGCTTATTCCACCATGCGACACACGGCCTCGGCCACCGCAGTACAAGAGCCTCACTCGCGATGTGACAAAGCGGCAGATGGCGCTTGATCGGGAGCTCGTTCTGCTCTCGGAGCGGGAGCAGCATATGCGCCGTCAGTACGACGCGGAAACCCTGCAGGGTCTCCGTGTCGTGGACCAGCTTCTGGCGGAGAGTCGGTCGGGCCGCTTCGGGGCGGATGCATTGCGTGGGGTGCACGTTAAGAGAAAGAATAAGAAGGGGACAACGTCAGAGCGAACTGGTAATCAAAAAACAAGAGGAATTTCTGCAGAAACCGCGAACCGCGTGATGAAGGCGTGAGCATCAAGCGAAGTGTGTGAAGTGAATCTTTTCCGACTCTATGGAGGCTCTTTTGTTTGACAGGAAGAGAGAGATTGTGTGGTAGTAGTAGGGAACGGAACCATAGTGGCGTGCTTGATGAACCGTTACGGGAGAGATCTATTTGCCCTGCGCGAGAGCGAAGGGGTGGTGAGTAGAAATGTTGCGCCGCATGAGCAGAAGCGGCAGCCGCAAGGTCTCCCTTCATTGTATAAGTCTGTCTCGGAGAGACGCAATTCGACTCGTATTGAGCCTGGTGGATGTAAGCCAAATAAGGAATAAAAAAAAAACGGGGTGGGGGCAAACCCGAGGAACTAGGACTACCAGGGGGAGGCGCAATATGCCCAAATACACGTTGAACCAGCGGTGGAAGGGTCTGACCTCCGGTCCTTTTTCTGATGGTTGCTTCTTTGTTTTTGTTTCAGTTTTCCTTCTACCTCTTCGTCTGTGTGTGTGTGTGTGTGTGTTTGTTTGTTTCAGTCTCCTCCTTTTTGCAGTTTTCATTGTTTACTCAAGACGACAGTAGCGCTCCTGTGCTCATCTATATCTAACTATCTATCTACCTATATATATATATANGTGTGTGTGTGTGTGTGTGTGCGGTATGACGGTCGTGTGAGTTGCTGACGGGGTAGGATTTCTCACCGTGTGCGCACACACACACGCGCGTAGATAAATATGCACGGGCCTCTGCGTGAATGTGGTACGTGTGTGCATACGTATGAAATTATGTTGTGCATTCACTTTGTTATCTTTTTTTTTGTGTTTTGTTTTCCCTTCGCATTCTGGAAAGGGGATAAAAGTGCATATTTGCACCAAGGACTGTTTTCTCGTTTGATTCTTTACCCTCCGGTAACTGTCTCTGTGTTGTGTTTCTGTGAGAGACAGAGAGTGTGTGTGTGTGTTGTTTGCTCGTTCCCCTGCTTGGCTGAATGTATCTTCTCTCGCTAATTGATTGGGTGGAGAGAAGGCGGCTGGCGGAGCTGGATATATATATATATATTGCACCGGCTTGTCTTGCTGCCTGCGTCCCCGCCCCCCAGTGGTGATGTGGCTGTTGGAGATGTGCTGCCTTTATGTCTGCCTGTACACACGCATCTCAATAGGTTTTTCTTTTTTGTTCGTTTCGTTTTCTCCATGGGAGCACGTTTTCTTTCTATGCGTGTTTGATTGCTTGTTTGATGTTTTTGTCTTTCGATTCTTTCCTGTTAAATGGTACCGAAACTGTTCTCTTGCGTGCGAAACGGCTGCGCTGAGTGACACCGCGCACACACACACACATTATATATATGTATATGTATGTATATATATATGCGCTCACGCACTCTTTTCTCTTTGACCTCTTGTACTCTTCACTTGAGCGCTGAAAAGGGGGGTGAGGAGTGGGGCTCTACCGCTCCGGGCATCTTGGTTGGCAGCGCGGCTGCACGAATGATATCAAGAGAAGAAAACCGCAGGGCAGACTAATAAACCACAGACAGATATATACAGGGAGAGAGAGAGAAAGGTACACTTACATTTACACTAAATAGATAGAAACTGCTTTTATGTTGGCATCATCGTCGTCGTCGTCATCAACAACAACAGCAGCGGGAGCCGGAACACACCTGCCAAGCAGCAGTATCGTTGAAGGCGATCGCAACACGGCCCTTTCCATGCAGACATCAATTTGTGCCGCACAGCAGCAAGAAGAAGAATGGGGTGAGGCGTGTGTGTCGCCGCAATGCGCATGGGGGGTACGTGAACCTGAAAAGGAGAAGCGAGCAGCGACGGTGCGTTGGGCATCGCTAACGGGTGCTACCACTTTAGGCACTTCCGCTACTGTTGCCGTGGATGACACAAGGGGGCAGCAATGCAGTAAGAAAAAGGGCCGCGGGGTGGGGCAGCAGACACACGAGGAGGTCAATGGGTCTGTGACGCCAGCTGCGGTGCCAGCCACTGAGCTTGATAGAGCCGCAACAGCGGCACCAGGAGCCTTGGTCATGGGGGGAGCAGGTGCACTGTCCCTCGAAAGCCTCCTCCGTGAGTCGCAGCAACAGCTGAAGGAATTGCTGTGGTACAAGAGTCGCTGTTGTGTGCAGCAGGCTGCCCTGGACGCCGCGGTATCGCAGCAGAAAACGCTCGAGGACGCACTCCTTGAGGCACGTTCGGAGACCCTCAGCGAGCGGGAGCAGCACCGCGCGTTCGTTTCTGCGGCGGCGGCGGAGCTGCGTGAGACAAAGGCGACCCTCGAGCCGAAAGCAAACGCTCTGCGGGCGATGGAGGATGAAGTGGGCGGTCTGCGCAGAGAGCTGGAGCGCACACGCAGTGCGCTGCAGAGGACAGAGGCCGATCACACGGCATGCCGGAGGCGGCAGCAGAGCGCGGAGGAGGAATTGGCGCGGCTCCTCACAGAGAATGGCCAACTGCAGGCGAGTGCTGACGCGTGGCGAACGCGCTGCAGTGAGCTCGAAGCACAGCGCGCAGAAGAAAAGGAGGCAGCGGTGGTGGTACGCGATAGCCCTGCGTCAAGTTCCAGCAGCATCAGTGTGCGTGGGGCCAGAGAGGATGAGCTGCGCGCTGCCACGCACACGCTAAGAGAGGAGTTGAAGCAGCAGATGGCGGAGGTAGCTGCTGTGCGGGCTGCAGCGGACGGGCGTCTGCAGCACCTCGTTTCTGCAGTGAGTGGGCGGCTGTTGGCACTGGAACAACACGGCGCACAACTTGCGGCATCGCTCGCGCCCACACCGACAGAGGCCGCGCTCGATGAGGCTTCGGGAGGCGTGGAAGGCGAGGTTGGGGTCGCAGACCCGGTTGCAGTGCTCGTGTCGTGTGTGCGGCGTGTGGAGCAACGGTGGAACGCCATCGCGGCGCTCGAAACGCGGCATGTGGAGGAAATCGCGGTGATGCGTGAAGCACTGCAGCAGCAGCAGCAGCAGCAGCACGACACCGTGGCGCGCGCGCACGCGGTGGAGCAGGAGGAGGTGCACAATGCTGCGGACGTGGCGCAGCAGCTGCAACTCCTCGAGGCCCGTTACAGCCAGCTGCTGCATGGTGCGGAACGGCAGTGCCGTCTCCTGCTTGTCATGGCTGACGGAAAGAGGTGTAGAAGCGCCAAGCCCGTACAAGGGGAGGATGGGCGCGGTGAGGGAGAGCCGGTAGAGGCAAGTATGCAGCAGCAGCAATTAGAGGCTGGCGAAGTCCTGTCATGTGAAACGATATTAGCACCAGACCATGAGCGGGTGGTGCAGTCGTTGCTGCAGCGCACACAGCAAGCGACGCGTCGCATTGCTCGCCAGCTGCGAGAGTCCCGCACACAACACGAATCCCTAGAGACGCGGATGCAGAAAGAGCGGCGAGACCTCACAGAAGTACTTCACGACGAGCGGGCGCGACACCAGGCGGCGGTGAAGCGTATGCAAGGCCTACTTAAGACGGCAGCTGATACGGAGTCCGCGCTGCAGGCGAAACTTGCTGCGGCGGCACGCGCTGCGAACACCGAGCGCAATGCCCTGCTACGGCGCGCGGAGTCGGCGGAGGCGGACGTGCAGGCGCGTGCCAAGCAGGAGCGCGCACTGCAGCGACAGCTACGAGATGTGCACCAGCAGTGCGACACGGCGCTGGCGGAGGCGG